GCAATCACCAAAGCTCTGCGAGGACTTACTCCCTTGTCTAATGAGGTAACTGAAAACCCCAATGTAGATGACCATTTCACTAGCGTCATGGAGCAGTGGTTTGGAAAATTCTACCTTGCTCATGGATTGGCAAAATTAACACTGCTAAAATGGCCATACTACCCCGAGTGATCTACAGAATTAATGTAGTTCCTATCATAGTACCATCATCATTCCTCACAGATCTAGAAAAACTAATTGTACGCTTTGTATGTAACCAGAAAAACATCCTATAGCCAAAGCAATCTTATGCAAAAAGAATAAACTGGGAGGTATTAGTCTACCAGACTTCAACCTGTAATACAAGGCTATAGTAACAAAAATAGCATATTACTAGCACAAGAACAGAAATATAGACCTTTGGAAAAGGCATGAGAATCCAGACATGAAACCATCCACATATTTTCATCTAACCTTTAACAAAACAGAGAAAAATATGCACTGGGAAAAAGAATCTCTTTTCAATAAATGTGTTGGAAAAACTGGATAACTATATACAGAAGATTGAAACTGGGTCCCCACCTCTCACCTCTTCCAAAAATCAATTCATGATGGATAACAGACTTAAACCTAAGGCATGAAACCTTAAGAATTCTAGAAGAAAATCTAGGGAAGACTCTTTCAGACTGCAGCCTAGGCAAAGAATTTATAAGGAAGACCCCCACAACAATCACAGCAGCAACAACAATAAAGAAATGGGACCTGATCAAATTAAAAGGCTTTTGCACAGCAAAAAAAACTATCATTAGAGCAAATAGCCTACAGAATGGGAGAAAATATTTGCTTTCTACACATTCAATAAAGGGCTGAAAACTGGAATCTATCTAGAACTCAAAAACATCAACAAGAAAAAATCCAACAACCCCATCAATAAATGGGCAACGGAAATGAACAGAAACTTTTCAAAAGAAGAAAGAATAATGGCCAGCAAACATGTAAAAAAATGCTCAACATCTCTAATCATCAGGGAAATGCAAATGAAACCACAGTGTGAAATCTCCTAACCCCAGTTACATTGGCCTTTATAAAAAAATCCCAAACCAACAAATGCTAGCGAGGATGGGGAGAGATAGGAACACTCTTACACTGCTGGTGGGACTGCAAATTAGTACAACCTCTGTGGAAAAGAAATCAGAGACACCTCAAAGAACTAAAAATAGAAATACCATTGGATCCAGCAATAGCACTATTAGGCATCCACCCATAGGAACAAAAGACATTTCATAATAAAGACATCAGCACTTGAATGTTTATGGCAGCACAATTCACTATTGCAAGGATGTGGAAAACCCAAGTGCCCATTAATCCATGAGTGGATTAATAAAACATGGTATATGCATACAATGGAATGCTACTCAATTACAAAAAATGATGGTGATCTAGCATCTTTTATATTTTCCTGGAGAGAGCTTGAGCCCATCCTCTGAAGTGAGGTATCACAGGAATGGAAGAATAATCACCACATGTACTTGCCATCAAATTGTCACTAACTGATCAACATTAAGGTGCTCACGCATTAGCAATATTTTGGAAGGGTTGGGGTTTGGGATTAGTTAAACTCACATCTAATGAACACAGTGAGAGTTGTAGTGAGGCAATGGTATGCCTCAAAGCATGGCTTGGGTATGGTAAAGTCATAACATGTAACGAAAATATTTGTATTCCTATAATATCCTGAAAAAAAAAAAGAAAGAAAGAAAATGAAAAAGGTTGATTACGTCAGTACTAACCTCCTTAATTATTGTATTTGATGTCTTAATATTAGTGGGTTGTTGCATTATCCCTTGTGTTAGGAGACTAATCCAGAGATTAATAGAAACAGCATTAACCAAACAACCTTTTTCACCTCCATATGAAAACAAGTTGTTACTATCAAAAAACCAAGAACACCAAACTTAGCTCCTCCTTACCTAATTTGAGGAAAAGAGTAAAAAAATCTAATACAAAAGATGTGAAAATTTTAGGAGGAGATGACCTCGGCCTAATCTTTTCTGCCAAAGGAATAAATACTCTGTCTGATATCAAGCTCTACATAATTATTAGTACATAGCAAAAACTCTACAAGAGCAACAACCTTGCTTTAATCTACTTTATTGCAATAAAAAAAATATAACCATGTTTAGCAGTTTAAACTTTTTTGTTCTCTATTTACCTCAACAATGTGCCTTAGTCAATCAGGTAAGAGCAAGATTGTGAATTCAAAGTCCCTACTGATGGGATGAGACACAGCCCTGTATGTGCATTAGAGATAAAATATGAAGAACCTCCTTGAGGCACACTGCTGGCTGGGTGCTTTGGCTGCTGCTAGGTGCCTTCTGATCAGGAGTAAAGATTTTGCCTTGCCTAGACAATCTGCAGTGTCTGACTGTTTTCTTAACAAGACCATGGATTACCTCCAACATGAGTTCATTAGGTTTATTCCTTCTTCAATGCTCCAACAGCAGATATTTAGTAAGATAATAAAATTGCACATGACTCTCCTAGCACAAAAGTCTAATTTTGTATTAGTTTTATATGAAAGGCTACTACTAAGATACAGATTATTTTAGAAAGGAGAAAAAAAGTTATTGTAACTAAGATGTGACCCATTAGTTAGTTATCTGTAGTCTTGCAATGATATACAATTATCACATTTCCATTAGCTAACGTAATTTCTACTCATAGATTTTTCCCATATTTTTAATTTGTTGTTAAGACCTAATGCTGTATGTCTTCTAGTCATTCAACAAACATTTTGTCATTTCCTCAAATATTTAGCAATCCTTTTAACACATGCTAACTCATACACTATACTCTATGAGTCTTCTCAATTTCTCATTTATTGACTTTGATTTATGTGTCAGATAATACTAGGTATTTTCTCATATAAACCATTTTTATTTTCAGATTTTTCTGTTTGTACTTATATATTATACATGGTCAATTAAAACCAATTTCCTATCACACTTTCATCAAATTTAACCCTGTTGTGTGAAATTTAATGTAAATTTTCTTTTTCTCAACCTTATTTTCAAACCCTGAGAGACATTATGAAGGCAAAAGTGGTCAAAGAGTTATGCATAAAACAAAACTTGTTAAATAACCAAACTCCACTAGATATGCATATGCATATAAACACAAGCATAGAAGGTAGAGGACTACCTCTCATTACTGGGATTGACGACATTCTTGCCAATGATCAGAAAGCTTGGCAACATTCATCTCTTAATATATTTATTGTTACTTGCCTTAAGATAAAATATATATGAATTAAATGGAACTGTCCAACATACACTGTATTTAATCATTCTCTTTAATATCCCTTGCCAATATTTTATTCAGAATTCTCTACTTCTCTATTTGTAATCTATAATTATTTTATGATTGGTCCAGTTTTTGGTAGCAGTTAAATTTTTTAATAGTATAATATTTGAGAGAATATGAATCATTTGCCATGCTCTGGAAAGGTTAAATAAAATATATTATCTAACCCTGAAAGTTTCAAAGACAGTTTTAAACTTTGCAGAGAGTTCCTTGAATAGTATTACCACAAAAGTTCTTGCACTTCTTAGGTTCTCAGAATTTGACTTTATTTAGAAACAAGGTTGTTGCTGAGGTAATTGCTTAACATGTGGTCAATGGCTACATTGGCTCTGAGAGGTGCTGCTTCCTATTTCCATAGCAACCCTGCGTATGGTTTCTCCAAGAAAAATGAAGCATATCTCTTGTTCGGAATCTGGGGAGGAGATATGGAATGATGAAAATTCTAGGTTTGTGATTTAGTGGAGCCCTTCCATTCTTGCTGATGTACCCATTTTGACTTGGACTCTATGAGTCTTAGTTGGAAACCCGAGAACTCCTGGTCATGGACCTTGAGCACAATGTAGGAAGAATGTAATCCAGAATGGAAGAAATTTAAGGGTCTGAGAGTTTGGTCCAAGTTGTGCTGTGAGTAGCAAGTCCTGCAGCAGTGGGGGGTGGGGAGGGGAATGTGTTTAGAGAGTGTGAGCGCATGCACATATTCATAGTGGAGTAGGTTAGGTCCTTAACCCAGGATGAACTAGTGTCCTTACAAGAAGAGGTAAGATATAGACAGAGACACACACAGAAAAGAGAACCCATGTGAAGACTGACAAAGAGGGAGACTGTTAGGTAAAGTTGTTGGAGAAATTCGAGTGAAGAGGCCCAAAGCTAAGGACTGCTTGGGGCTACCAAAAACTTCAGGAAAGACAGTATTCTCCCCTAGAAGACTGATTTCAGAATTCTAGCCTCCGGTATTGTAGAAAAATAAACTTCTGTTGTTTTAGGCATCCAGTTTGAGGTACTTAGTTTTTGTAGCCCTAGGAAAGTAATACACTTTATAATGTCCTTTTAACATCCTCCATAGTATTTTGAAAGTTCCTCATTGTTTTCTATCCTTAATTCAATATTTCTTATTTGTATTTTCTCAGGAATAGTGTTAATGCCACCAATATTTTACACTTTATCAGCCAGGTATTGAAGAGAGTAGTTTCATTTAATCACCTATTTAAATGCAGTAGTACTTATGGTTTACTCTTTCTTGCTTGTGTTTTCCCTTTTATTTAGCCTGCCAGCTTTGGCCTTTCATCTTTTCAGAAAAACATAAAGGAGATGAACATTTGTACTTATTTTTAATTCCATTGCTATTCTGTTTTCAAAATATTAGTTTCAGCTTTTATCATATTTAATGCCATTCTCCTTTTCTATTTTCTAGGTTCTTCAGTAAAATGCTTAGTTCAATGTTTTCACTCCCATATGTTAACATAACAGCACTTAAAAGTTGTGCATTTTAATTGATCATTCATTAGCAGGTTCTCCTCAAATTATTAGAGCCAGCACAATGAGATAAAAGCAATCTTCTCCCAGCTGAGATCAAGAGGGCATTTCAGCACACTCTTAGAATAATAACTTTTTCAGGCAAACATGTACCCAGCAGCAAGCTCTGAGAAGACGTAGCATACCTGTGTGATCCTGGCTAGTCTCCCACAGTTCCTGTCTTCGACTCTCACAGCAGCCCGACTCTTCTCTACTCTGAAGTCTTTCGGACTAATCCTCTTATACTCTTGGTCCCAGGCACATTGTTCATCACAAGTGTCCTTGGATTTCAACCCTACCCCTATTGTCCCCCAACAAGTTCTGGACACAAATTTTGCTGAGTATATATTCTATCGCTCCAAATTCCTGATATGCTATATTAGTGTCCTTAGACATAATGACCAATTAATTTTTAATCTGAACTTCACCCACTTGCTAAGCATAACTTTATATTTTACACTTTGCCACCTCCTAAATCCCTTTAATCCATGGTCACTTATCAACCAAGTACTGCGTCACTTCAACCCCTTCTGAAAACTGGTCCTTATCCAATTTTCTGTAACAAATGTGTTTCTTCCCTCTGAATTTAATGCTTCATTTATCACTCTCTCAAGTGATGGATATTTTCATTCTCAGAGTGGAGATTTTTCTTCCTTCTTATTGCTACTTTCAGACAATGAGCCCACCCCCTTATAGATACACACAATTTTGACTTTCATATCATCTAGCCATATCACACATATAGAAACTTCTCCTTGGACCTTGAATGTTTTTTTAAAAAGATCAACTCTAAAATGTAGATTAACTGGAGAAAAGGCATAACAATTTATTTAACATGACCACATGAGGTCTTTTAGGATGAAGAACCAAAGTAGAGGTGAAATTATCCATGTTTATGCTTAAATTTATCAGAGTATAGACTGTGTATAAATATGGTTGGGCAAAAAGAGAATGATGTTATATTAAAAAATGATTAAGGAAACACAGCAAAGTCTGTTCAGATTCTTCTTGTTCTTCTGTGTAATATTCTTTCCTATGTAATGTGGGCAGGACCCCTTCGGAACTGAAAGTCTTATGGCACACAATCAGGCAAGGCAGGTGAGAGAATTTCTCTATGGCAATGTAACAGTGACCACACAGTGCCAAATATTTACTTTTGTAAAGCGTAACATTTTCTTGTCATCTAAACCCATGTTTAAAAAATAGTAGAAAAGATGGGGTGGAGCAATGAAGCCAAATAGAAACTTCCAAAGATTCTATCCACATTACACCTAATTCAACAATTACCCACCAAAGCAAGCACCTTCAGAACGTCCAAAATTACTTGAGTGATTATACTACCCAGTTTTCATATTATAGTAAGGGATGAGAAACCAAACAGGGCACAGAGGCATTTTTTCATTGCCTACACCAACCCCCAATCTTTAGCAGTGATGTGTCAGCTCACAGAATGGACAGACAATCTATGTGCCATAGGAAGGAAAGTGAAGTAATTCTGGTACTTTCCATTGAAAGTCTGGGCCACACTGGCAGAGTAGAATATAACACAGGGCAAAATTCTGTCAGTGCCCACAGAGGAATCAATTTTCCCAGCATAGCTAGAGGGAAATTATCCACCCCAAAGTCTGACCCACATGAGCATAAGACATTCTCTTATAAAGACATCTGCACCTAAATGTTTATCGCAGCACAATTCACTATTGCAAGGACATGGAAACAATCCAAGTGCCCAGCAATTCATGAGTGGATTATTAAAATTCGGTATATGTTCACAATAGAATATTACTCAATTCTAAGAAATGACAGTGAGCTAGCACCGTTTGTACTATCCTGGATTAAGCTTAAGCCCATTATCCAAAGTATGGCAACACAAGATCAGAAAAATGGGCTCCATATGTACTCGCTATGAAATGGATACTGACTGATTAACAGTATGGTGCTCAAATGGTGGTAGTGTTCACCAGGGATTCAGGGGTAAACCCACATCTTAGGGATGTGGTGAACACTGTGGAGGGGAAGGGCATATCTGTAACCCTTGCTAGGGAGAGGCAAATATATAAAGTGTAATCAACATGTTAAAAAAAACCATAAACAATTATCAGGTGTCGAGCAGGTGGGAGGGAGGAGTAGGGGATGGGTATACACATACATAGTGAGTACGATGCACATCACCTGGGGAATGGACACACTTGAAGCTCTGACTCAAGGGGGGAGGGGAGGCAATGGTAATATATGTAACCTTAACATTTGTACCCCCATAATATGTGGAAATAAAAAAGTCTCTCATCAGAGTTGAGCAAGCAGAAGAAAGAGTTAGTGAACTCAAAGACAGGTAATTGAGCATACACAGCGTAAGAGAAAAAATAAAGAGTAAATAAGAATGAAGCACACTTACAGGATCTAGAAAACATCCTTTTAAAAGTAAATATAAGAGTTTTTGGTTTTACAGAAAAGGTAACATGAGAGATTGGGACAGAATATTTATTCAAAGAAATAATTAATAAGAACTTTCCATACCTAAAGAAAGATATCAATATTCAGGTATAAGATGGTCATAAACACCAAGCAGATTTAACCCAAACAGGGCTTCATGAAGCCACTTAAAAATCAAGCTCCCAAGAATTCATGGTTAAAGAAAAGCTCCTAAGAGATGCAATAAAAATGAAAAAAAAATGCATATAAAGAAATTCCAAAATATCTGGTAACTGACTGCTCAGTGGAAGACTTATAGGACAGGAGAGAGGAGCATGACATATTAAACATGCTGAGAAAAATACTTTAACCCTAGAATATTATATCCTGCAAAAATATCCTTCAGACATGAGGTCTAATAAAGACTTTCCTGGACAAAGGCTGAGATATTTAATTAATACCAGACTTGTTGCACAAGAAATGCCAAAAGGAATACTCCAACCTGCAAGAAAAGGCCATTAATAAACAGCAAGAAATCTTCTGACGGTACACAACTCATTGGTAACAGTAAAGACACAAATACAGAATATTGCTGTAAATATGGTGTATAAACAACTTATATATTAAGTATGAAGACTGAAAGACAAACCAATTAAAAATAACAACAATGTTGATTCTGCCAACCCATGGGCATAGTATATTCTTCCACCTTTTTACATCCTCTGCTATTTCCTTCTTCAGTGTTTCACAGTTCTCACTGTAGAAGGTCTTTTACTTCCTTAGTTAAATATATTCCTAGATACTTTATTTCTTTGTTGTTATTTTCAAGGGAATTAAGATTTTAATTTGGTTCTCATTTTTACTGTTGTTAGCATATATGAATGCCTCTGATTTCTGTGTATTTATATTGTATCCTGAGACTTTACCAAATTCATTTATCAATTTGAGGAGTCTCTTGGTTGAATTCTTGGGGTTTTCTAGGTATAATATCATGTCATCAGTAAAGAGTGGGAGTTTGATCTCTTCTTCTTAAATTTGGACACACTTAATTCCACTGTCTTGTCTGATTACTGTAGCAAGGATTTCCAGCACTATCTTGAATAGAAGTGGAGATAGTGGGCAACCTTGACTTATTCCAGTTCTAAGTGGGAATGCTTTCAATTTTTCCCCATTCAGTATGATATTGGCTGTGGGTTTGTCATATATGGCTTGTATCATTTTTAGGTAAGCCCCATGTATGCCTATTTTGTTGAGTGTTTTTTATCATAAAAGGGTGTTGAATTTTGTCAATCTCTGAGATTCTTTCTTCTGTTTGATCTACCCTGTTCTTGAGGCTTTCCACTGTGTTTTGTAGTGCAATGAATTGATTCTTCACTCCTAGGAGTTCAGTTACATTTTTCTTTATTATTTCAATTTGTTTATTGAATTTTTCTTACAGGTGTTGGAAACTTTTTGTGTTTTCTTTGTGTCGGGATATCCAGTTTTTCTTGCAATTTATTGAATTTTCTTATAATCCACATACAAAATTCTTCTTCTGTCATTTTAGTGTTCTGATTTTGGTTGATGTCCCTTTCTAAGGGGCTGGTGTTCTCCTTTGCGGGTGTGCTTTCTGTTTTAGTCTTCATATTTCCAGAATTCCTTTCCTGATTTCTTCCCATGTGAATCAGTTGTTGCTTTTTACCTTTAGATTTTCATTTGGATAATGACACGCCTTGTTTAGTCTCTGAGGCAGTAGGTAGTGTTTGTGGGTGAGATTTGACCACACCCTGTATGATGAGTCAGTAGATGCTGTAAAAGTGTGTGCAGAATGTCCTCCCTATCAGTAGGTAGTGCTTACTCAGAGGAGTAGGCTGTTGTTTTTGGGTCCTATAAATAGCTTATTCCTCTGGAGAGGCACTCTAGTACCTCAGGTGGTCGGTGGGGCCCTGAGTCTTCCAGGTGTGTCCCTATTCTCCACCTCAGTGAGGGCTGGACTGGGAATGAGTCTAGATGGAGCTTGGTTGGGTAAGCCTGCCCTCAAGCATAGCAAATGGTGTTAGCAGGGGTGAAAGTTCTGTTCTCTGCTTCCAGGAAAAGCTGTCAGGGAGGGGCTGGAATGGCCCCACTCAGTCAGAAAGTCTGCATGTAGGGGTGTGACTGTCTATGACCTGAAGTCTGGAACAGGCCTCACTCCTTTCCACCCTCCCCAACTCCATGGCTTCTCCTGGGTCTTTGCCAGCAGGCCAGACCTTATGCCACCAGGTCTTCCCTGGCTGTGATACAGGCTGGGAGATTCCCTGTATAGGGTCACAGCCTGGGCTGGGCACACAGCCCCCCTTGGGAGAAGGGTTGTCCTCAAGCATGCTGATCTGCCCCTGAAGGCACACATACCTTAGTGGGCTCCTTCAAAAATATCCCTTCTGTGCCTCTGGCAATGCAAGACTTAGGTGCACAGGATCTGGTCTGCAGGTCTGACCTCTGGTCCCTGGAATTCAATCCCTGACCCCACCAGGGAGAGGAGTGTCAGTCCTAATTCACCAGTGGGGAGCCTAAGCTGGGTCTATGTCTCTCAGCGTCAGTGTCTGCCCCTTTCTCCTGGAATAACTAGGCCAGCAGCACCAGGGATGGCTGGCGGGTAGGGAGCTTACCATCACAGTATCCCTCACTTGCTGTAGGGCCCCAAAGGGAAGGTCTTGTTCCTTAAAACTGGATAGCCACATGTAGAAGACTGAAACAGGATGCACATCTTTCACTTCTCACAAAAATCAACTCATGCTGCGTAACAGACTTGAACATTAGGTGTGAAACTATTAGAATTTAGTGGAAAACGTAGGAAATACTCTTCTAAACATTGGCCTAGGCAAAGAATTTATGAAGAAGACCCCAATGGCAATCTCAGCAACAACAGAAAAAATAAATGGGAACTTATCAAATTAAAAAGCTCTGC